GAAGTTCATTATATTTGCATAATTGAATGGCTTAATTTTTTTATTTCAACAAAAAACCATTTCGTAACACTCGCCGTAAACAAATTGATTTCACCTAATGAGTGTGGCTTTGGATCTGGTAAATCAACCATTGACCAGATATTGATATTGTATTTTCGAAAAAGTAGCTACACATAAACTTTTCGTCGATCATAAAACAGTCTTCGATAAAACGAAGGGAACTGCGTAATTGCCATTACTTCTGAGCTTGGTACCACGGCAAAAAAAAAGTGCTGAGTAACATCAAAAGCACTCTCCGGATCGGCAAAGGCCCGAGCGTCGGTTGGATACAAAACGAGATTCAGAAAATTCGACTTCTTATGGTGCGACTTATTCAACTTGATGCTGGAGAAAATAATACGAGAGAAGTTACTGATAATATTATTTAATAGCGTACAACTGCAAGCGTATGTTAATGTTTTTGGCAGGACCCTTAAAAATTCTTTTTTTTTTACGAAGCTCACTTGCAAGCCAGCTGGCTTCTCCTTATATTGCAAAAGCTTAAGTACTGTGAGCGTCGGTTTGACACAGCGATAGATTCTATCTAGAAAAACATGGAATTATATTCGTGAAATAGGAATTGACAGCAAAACTGGTTCCCTTTCAGAGGATAAAACTGTAAAAGAGTTGAATTTAAAATTTGTATAATTATCTGACTGTAACCGTAATATGTATAGCAATTATACCAGTGGAATGATACCTGATTTCACTTTCTCAAATTTTGATGATTGTGCAGTTGACAAACACGACAACTTAAAATTTATTCCGATTGCGTTCATCCTATTTTTTTTTTAAATGTATAATGCCTAAAATTTTAACATATAAAACATATGCCTTAAACAACATTTTGACCAAGTCCGTTTTAGAATTAAAAAACCTAACGGAGACTTCAGACTTACCGCAATACCACCCTTCTTATCTAAATTGCTTGAACGCATCATACATGCTCAAATAAATTCTTTCCTAAATCGAAACCTACTGGTGAATCGGTACTAATCTGGCTATAGATCTAACGGGAGCTGCATAACGGCGTTAATTAGGGTTTCGGATGACATCTTTCTCAATATAGACAAAAATCGTGCAACGTTACTAACACTTTTGGATCCTTCCAAAGCTTTCGACACTGTGAAGCATGAATTGCTAGCCTTGAAACTTAGCGATTTGTTTAATTTCTCATTGACAGCAACATACTTACAATAATAAAATCATATCTAAGTGATCGTTCGCAAGCTGTATTTCTACTCGTAGATAACGTTATATCGAACCATTTAAACGTAAAAAAAGGTGTTCCACCAGGATATATTCTTGAGCCTCTGTTATTTGTTTTATATCTTAACGACCTTCAAAGTATATTATAATACTGTGACATTCATTTATACGCAGATGATGTTCAATTATGTGTGTTGTCCTCTTAACTCCATCAATGATTGCATTTCCATCACGTCAGAAAGTGGGTCAGCGATGATGGTTTAGTCCTAGTAAATCGCGGTGCATTGTCATTTACAAGAAGCCTTTCTAACTCGAAGGCTACAGTGAAATGAAACTGAATAACTCTGTTATTAATTAATTTCGTGGATACTGCCAGAAATCTAGGAATAATATTCAATAGAACATTGTCTTGGAATAACCATATTTATAGTGCAATAGGTAGGGTTTATGGCATGCTTCGAGCATTTCATAATGGACTATTCAACATTTCACATCATCAAAGATTCGATTGTTTTTAGCAAAGACATTTTTTTACCGTCCTCACTGTATGGATGTGTACTGTTTGCCAGCTGTGACAGTCTGTGTTGTAGTAAACTCAATGTTCTCTACAATAACATCGCCAGATACGTATATATATGGTGTAACTACTTTTGCTCTGAAATTATTTTTCATAAAATTTGACGATTTACTGAAGTTAAAGTGCCTAATGTTACTTCACAAAGTTGTTAGCTCTCAGGAGCCTAAATATATCGTAGTACGAGTTCAATTCTCTAGATCCACCCGATCAATTAACTTACTGAGCATGAAATACAGTTGGATAGTATCTGAACGTCAGTTCTATATTTTTGCTGTTCGTCTTTGGAACGCTCTGCCACAAAGAATCAAAGTTATTCGGAGTACGTCGCGCTTTAGAAACGAAGTCATCACGTTCCTAACCTGCACACTCATTCATAGATTTCAAATCTTGTGAATACTACAATTTCTTTTATAAATTCCTAACGCGAATCTTTATTTTCGTGCTTAGAGAGGAAAGGACAATTTTCATGTTAAGCTTAAGTTGTTAATTTTTTTAAGCTTTTATATAGAATTAAGTTCATGTTCAAGCATTGCAAAATAACTTATGGTAGTGTGTTTGAATAAAAAAAAAATAAAAAAAAATAAACAAATAATCAAATAAATAAATATAATAGTGTTTGGAATGATATTTTATCATCGAGGTCCTACTCATAAATCGTCGTAAAATTTTCTGAGTTTAGAGCGACGGCTTCATTCTGGACCCTTTTAACCTCACAATAATTAGTGATACATGAATGTGAAGGCCTTGTTGCTATTAAAATTAATTAATTTAATTAATTATGAATCTAAGTAAAAATGTGTCATTTTAAATACAAGAAAATTTAATATATGAAAAAAAAACAAAAATAAATAAATAAAAAAATACAATTCCCGCGTGGCTTTATAAAAATGTATTAAGTTTATTTTCGGCAAACTCGTTGCTGAAAGGGTGTTAGCCACATATGCCAACTAAGTATTTCAAACAATATGTTGACAGCAGAACAAAGGAAAAGTTACTGCAACATTCTACCATTTCACACTTGACTGAGTACTCATGGACATTTTATTATAATACCCACTACCCTAGTAAAGGATAATCTGGGCTTAGGGAATCGGTTTGGTCATGTGTTTGTACGCTTTTAAATGCTTTATACAATAGAAGCACACATATACATACATACACATATACACAATATACCCTAAACATATCGGGTACATGATTAGGCATTTATTTATTTTGAAAACGCTCCGCACTTTCCAGTGTTCGTTATGAAGGAAGGAATATAACAGTACAAGGGAGTGTAAGTTTTTCCACTTTTTTAATTAGATTTATATTTTGTCGGATATTACACAAAATTTATAGTGACCAGGTTTTTTTTTGTTCAAAAGAGAGTTAAAATGAAATTATATTACATATTTAGAAAATACATAATTTACAGTTAGGATGGATGATTTGTTCGAAATCAAATTGTACACAGATACAAATATTTCGTTATACAATTCTGTGTATTTCCACAGCGTGAGGCATTATTTACAATATTTTTTTTTTAACTTAGCACAGATTACATTTCTGTATGTACCCCAACCCTCGGGTGAATTAGAGCAAATTTTTTATTGCTACAGATTTATAAACGAGCAACCCTATTGTTTTCATTCTCAATGGATTGCTCTTTCTACAATGCAATTAACAAGCCAGTTAAGAAAACACCCCAGAAGAGCATGTTTTGCTGAATAAAACAAATCCTATAAAATATACAATTGGTAAAAACATAACAAGCACACGGTTCGCTATACATACATACATACATACATACTCGTACATATAAATAAATATATAGATAAATTTATACATATATAAATACATGTACGAACATATAATTCGCATTCCAAAGGCTAATGGATTTTGTGGGGAGCTTTTTGTTTCCAACTCTGGAATACAGTCAGAGTTCATTTCACTGCTTGAGGAGGACAACCACATTAAAGACCTCTTCTTTTATCTTCCAATGGATTTTTGCCTTTAACATTGTCGGTAAGGAGATTTACCGCGTACTGTTTTTTCTCGAGAATATATCAATACCAGAAGTGTTTTTCTTAATATTAGAGAAAAAGAAATGCGAGGCTCGAAGTAATTTTCTTATTCTGGGTTCGGGACTTCTCAGCCCATGCTTAATATTACATATTACAAGTATACAAAGTAAAAATGTATTTAAAAGCAAGATCTGTGTAGCCGCGATAGCGAAGGTGCTAGCATTGCGCAGCCCCAAAAAAAGGGCAGGGCTCGAGTCCTGGTTCGACCAACATCCAAAAATTATGAAATAAAATAAAAAAAATACGTTAATTTTTCTCTTGGAAGGGAATACCGGGCCCACCGAGTGTATTTCTTATATCAAATAAAAGCTGGAACTCGGCCCAAAGTCGCTTCATCGGATATAATCATACATATGTATAAATAGGCAGTTAATAAGTAAGTAAGTAAGGCGGCCGCGGTAGCTTATAAAAAATTAATTAATTGCGGTTGCCCCTCGGCAGGAAATGTCAATCCCGTCTCTTCGCTTCAGCGGTTACAAAGCGAGTGCTAAAGTCGGGCAACCAATTGACTTAAAACAATGATTTTCTACATTTCCGGATCGATGGAACAAGAGCACAAAGACGCTTCCAAGACATGGTATATGGGAATTTCGGGATGGCATTTCCAGCTTTTTATGTTTCACTGCCAAACAAATATGTTAATTTTTACTATTTCCTTTATCAGCAAAATTGTTATTAACTATGTGGTGTACGAATGCGAATTTCGCACACTGTATAAAACTACATAGAAAAATGGATACCCTTTAGCAAAAATATATCAAATCGAAATGTAAATAAATGGTTTTCAAAAAGATTGTAGTCTTGTCGCCTTCCTGAAAATAAAGGAAATGAACTAAATATAATTATTAATGGGACATTTATGAATGCGTCGACCTCTGGTTCACTTCCGGTAAAAAAAAATACAAAAAACTTCTTCGAAACCAGTCGATCCGTTTAAGAGGAGTCCAATTGCGAAACATTCGCACAGAAAATTCTTTTGTACTTCCACAAAGATAGTCCATTTTGAGATCGAACCACTGATCCTCCGGTAATAGCACCGACCTACCTACATGGCTACAACAATTAAAAGCTTGATTTCCATTATCCATTACTGTTACAATATTTTCTTAATTTTTTTATTTTGCTGTTCTTATAAGTTGATAACCTAGGTCAAAACATATTTAGACACCGCTTGGAAACTCAAAGTCCATCCATTTCCATTGAAGTTGGGCGACTTTTTCGAAACAATCGCAACTTTGCTTGTTTTTGATACAAAATTATACACGTATTGATCTGCACAGATATTTTTTGCCACCTTCTCCTCACCAATAGATGAAACTTCAACGATGTTCACGTAGTCGAATTCGCAGTTCACTTTAGATCCCATGTCGAAAGCTGAAAAACGGCATACAGAAGAAGACATTTACAATTGTTGGCAAATATTTCCAAAATTTAGATAATAAACTTTTCTTAAATTTGAATGAATAATGTATGTTCATACTTATAAAATTCACTTGCACGTGACTGGGCTCCGGAACAGTGATATCCCAACGGCACTCAGAGAAGTTTCGATCATCATAAGATGGACTGCGAATAACACCGTCCATTGTTTGTATCTCACCACCGCAGCCTATTCCAGCAGATCTCTTAGTGGCATAGTAGAACATGTGGAAGCTGTCCAAACTTGTGGTGAATATATGAATTGCACTTGCGTTTGTATTAAGGTTTTCATCATAATAGTAGGAGATACATTGTTGTAGTAAATTCTTATTTGTAATAGATTCATTTATCTAATAAAAAAACGTTTGATGAAATATTCACAAGTCAATTAATTTTAGAAACAAAAATCACCTGTAGATTTGGCGAAGAGCAATTAGCTCCCGAGTAATATGAATTTGTAGCCCGAATATTAAAGTTGAGGACGTACTCATCGGGCACCATTATATCTGCAAGACATGTCTGGTTTGCATTATCCTTCGCTTTGAAGTCCATTAGCCCACTGAGCCTCGTGTATGTGAGATTACAAGCTGAATAAATCATATTGCGGGCGATAAAAAAATAACTGATTAGTTGTTTATTCTGATATTTATTATTAATTTATGATGTTTAATGAGTTTTGTGAGCTCCAAGGATAAGTAAAATTCATGAAGAAATTGTTTTAAGTTAAATTTAAACAGAAAAGGTCTCGAAGATACAGCTGTATCTTATTGGTCCTTATTGGCTGAAATTAAACTACGACAGCACGAGTGAGTTAAGAGCTAATCAGTCTCAGGTCCAAATGATTTTCCGCCGATATCCTTCTCTAATTTGTGGTGAGCATCCTAACGTTCGTAGATTTTCTATCTAGTAATCGTGTCATCCTTTAACGCAGAATCAATCCTGTTAACAGGTGCTATTTTGGGCTTAGTAGCCAACTGAGAAGTAAAACCCCTTATCGACGAGCCCTCAGGAAAAAAGTTTTGCGAAATATTTATGGTTGCCCATTGGTAATGGTTGAGTATCGCAGTCGATGGAACGATGACCTGTACGAGCTAAAAAGGTGATATAGTTCAGCCAATAAAGAGACGGTCGTGTGGTCCGAGGCGATAAAGGCACTCCAACATTGAAAATATTCGTACGCACCACATGGAGAGAGACGAGTGGCGTGCTATTATTGATTCGGCTATAATCGTGTAATGATTTTTCAACAAAGTGAGATAGTTACAGTTTTTTTAAACCGCATCCGAATGGCTGATGAATTTTTATTCCTTTCTATAAATTTGGACGTTTGTCACTCGAGAGCTGGATGTTGTCCGCACCAGTATTCGAACATCTGCCCCTTCACAAATTGGTATGGACTTGCCACTGCAGCAAGATTTCACATATCGAGTTTAGCCATAAGCTTAGAGAACTACTTCTCTAATAATTTATTCCTGAAATCAAATTTGGCATTTCACAAGAAGACATTTTGTCTTTGAATCTGTGATAGATCATTTTGAGAGCCTTTACATCCAACTGCTTTCAGCAGATAGCATGAGGAGAATTTGTTATGTGGATTGTCTTGTCATTCTTACTGAGGCAAATAACTCAAATCTCTAACCATGATAAAAGAGATTGCATTTAAAATCTCCGCGCTCGCTGTGAGTCCGAATAAATTAAAAAGTGAAGATGAAAGTAAAGTTTTTGGACAAAAAACTTAGCTGGGGAACACATTGAGAGAAAACCTAGTAATGCACTCTGAATATGAAATGTCTCCAGAAAAGTCATTGTGCCAAGGAATTGCATTGACCAAGATGAAATTGTTGTATTATTTAATTATGGGTTCTTATTTTCGTTTACCCAAATTTCAGATTAAAAACTTTTTATTGGTCATATTGTTAGAACGACAGTGGTGCTGGGTGAATTCTTAGATTTTTATTTAAATTAATTTTTTATAATATTTGGATGTTGGCTGTTGCTGAATGTTGAGAGTAGAAGACGCAACGTTGTAGCAATAACTTCTCGAGATCACAGTGATTCATGAAGTCTCTCAGGCTTTGCAGAGATTATCACAGAGAAGCAAACATAAAAATTCATAAGTGAATCTAAAAATACCAAATCCTTTGTTTTATTACTTTTTGTTTAAAATTTTAGAGAGATGTGNTGTTTTCCTACAAATGGATATTTATTCATGTCAGAAATCCACTCGGAGGGGTTGATATTCCTTGCCGACGGGCCACCACAATTAGAAAAAATTACTTAGATTTTTAATTAAATTAATTTTTTATAATATTTGGATGTTGGCTGTTGCTGAATGTAGAGAGTAGAAGACGCAACGTTGTAACAATAACTTCTCGAGATCACAGTGATTCATGAATTCTCTCAGGCTTTGCAGAGATTATCACAGAGAAGCAAACATAAAAATTCATAAGTTAATCTAAAAATACCAAATCCTTTGTTTTATTACTTTTTGTTTAAAATTTTAGAGAGATGTGCTAAATGGAGACGAGAAAATGCAAGATAGCTGAGGATAGGTCAGACGAAATTCCACCACCAACGCAAACAGAAATTCGCCATGTGATTCTCTTCGGGTTTCGGCGTAATTTACAGCCAATACGAATATTCAGTGAATGCCAAATTGTATATGGAACGATTGCACGGTCTTTAAAGACTATTTCTAAGTGGATCCGAACATTCCAGACTCGACAATTTTCTGTAGAGGTCGAGCTCCGAGATGGTCGGCCAAAATCTTCCACTGATGACGTCCCTGTAGCTCTGGTGTAGTCCAAAATTGATGAAGACACACGATTGACACAAGAAATGATGAATTGGGCTTGAATACTAAGCTGTATCGCGAATAATAAGTAATCAGCTGGGATACACGAAGAAATCTGCTCGATGGGTACCACGAATTTTAAATGAGGCTCAAAAAGACGCTCCAGTGCATTTTGTTCAATTTTTCCTAAACAAATTCGAAAATGGTCAGTTTAGCAACTTTAGCACAGTCGTTACTGGTGACGATATAATTACGATCCAGAAACCAAACAGCAGTAAAGCAGAAGCAAACCCACCCATAAAATCTCAGCAGCAATCAGCAGCAAAAGTAATGATGTCAGTTTACTTCACCCGATCGTAGCTGCTATTCCACTGGGAAAGGATCAGATGGTAGCTGGGAAACGGTACACCGAACAGTGCTTACTAAAAGTTTTCAAAAATTTATTGGAAAATAGGAAGAAGGATGATTAGCGTCGCTACTTTTTACATCATGACAACGCGCACTAACAAATAATTTTATTGCGAGATCTGGGATCGAAGAAATATGTTCAGCACCATATACAGCGGATATAGCATCTTGTGATTTTTGGTTTTTTCCAAGAATTAAAAAAATGATAAGGAAAGTTCTTTAATAGCAACGAGGATATATTAATGCGGTTAATGCTGAACATGAGAAGCTTAAAAAGCAAGATTATGAAGTTTGTTTTCAGAAGTGGATCTTTGAGCTTGAGAAATGCATTGAAATCAATGGAGAAAATATAAATCAAAAAATAAAATGTTTTTCTGTTAAACTTACTGAACTTTTGTTAATATAATATGTATATGTATATGTACAAAGAAACATGTGTGTACGTATTGGGTGCATGAAAATTATTAATACTTACGTTGTTGGTACGAAATTGTTATATTGAATCCTTTGTCCTCAACAGAGTCATCGCTGTGAAAGGTTAACTCAGTATAGCTACTGCCATCGTCCTCTTGACTGGAGATGTATTTAGTAAATCCTGTGGCGTTGCCACAATAGTATTCTGTAATCTGCAAACCGATAACAACACATGCATATACTCGTGCATACATAAATGATGTTTTTCTTATGCAGATTTGCTACTGAAATTTATATTTTACCTCCTGTTGAGTTAACCGCAAGAAATCATTGCATTTTCCTGTCTCTGGAGCTGGCGGCTGTAGCAGTAAATACTCAAAATGTATTTGATAGTCGCGTTCGGATTTAATGCGCCATTTGCAATGAACATTTGGTAGATACTCAGAATTATTATTTGGAGGAAATTGAATGTTCACTGCCTAAAATTGACGGAAACACTTGAGATTTACATACATAACTATATAATTAAAATTTACTTATAAAAAAAGAAAACATATGGCAATGATTTACCTGGTCACCCGTGAGTTGTATTTCATTCAGTTTGCCACAAAGAGATTTCTCGATTTCCAGCACAAGTTCTACAGAGTAATTTCCAGCCTTTGTAAAACTAAATTGAAGCAAAGCATGCTCGTCTGACGTCACCAGCTTTCTCCTGCCATCATCATCATTTGCACAAAATTTACCCATAGACAATGTATCCGACTTCTGTGCACCCTGAATGACCTCCAAATAGTTACAGTCTTCACATTTATTATTCGTACATTTCCCTGAAATGATATCTAATTTTCGAACTTGAACTTTGACGCGATAACTCTCTGGCGCTGTCACGCGTATTTGACAATGTAGCTCGTCGTACGTGTTAACAGTGTAATTTCGTATCATAACTAGTGGTTGCGCTATGGTGTCGTCGTTGGTTAAGGCGATGCGCTCGTTACAGTTACGCACGAAAATCACCTCAGCAAAAAAGCCCTTGTGTGCATTATTAATATCGGACACGGCGGTTATGACAGCCTGTTGATCGTCGACGAGCACCAAAGGCGGGTTCGCGGTTAAGTTACCACAGAATTTAGCCAGTTCGTTGTCGGGACGTGTGGAGGATCCTGCGTAAATTGCCACAAAATCAAAAATACACTGATCGTGTTCTTCCATGTCGAAATATTTGAAGCGCACAACTATGGAATGATCCGGTGGCGCCATAACATTCCAAACGCAATTCATGTTGTTCGCATACTGATAATCGCCGCCATCAGAGTTGTCGGCCATAAGTGGGCGTATGTTGGCATAAGAAGTGATATTGCCACCACATGTATCCAATTGATAAGTTATAAGGAAAGTGTCGAAGGAAACGTCTGAGCTTATGCGTAAATAGTGCTTCGCATTTACTTCAACTGATCTACAATATTCGCCGCTTTGAATTTCATTTCCGTCGTCGTCCTTCTTATAAGCGGTAAACATTCCATATGGACAAGGTTGATTTAAGTAATACCGCCTGCGTGCGAATAATGTGTTTGATATTATTTGCACATTGATAGCATTATCTGAGCTTGTTAGGAATGTGTAGCTGCAACGCAACCTTGAGTAAGTTCCGATTTCATCCGTGGGCGGTTGTACCATTTGCAATTGGTCGGTGACATTGAAAGTGGCGGTGCAAGATGGTGATATGCGGAAGGTGAAGCCATCTCCTCTGGTTGCATTGTCCGTGCGGAACACGATAAGTAAACGATTCGACGTGCCATTGTAGCTGTTTGGCACATCTCGGCCGCAATATCGCTCCTTCGGCTGCCAAACTTCATCTTCGTAGGCATATATTTGCAGATAATCCTTGGAGCAATTTACGGATTTTTCTATGAAAAATCTGCCAGTGAACTCCACCGTCATATATAGCCCTGTGATGGTTTCAAACTCCCAACTGCATTCCATATTATTTTTATAGGTTTTAGAATTCACTGACACAACGGGCGTATTCATATTGGTAACCACCCTTGTCCGCATACCGCATGCAACCGTTGTTTCAACTGCTATCTGGAATGTTGAGCTTGATCTGTACTTGTTCGTAGAATATAAAATAGTTACAATTGATTGTTTTAAAGGGATGCCTGTAGTCAGCTCTGTTGAATTATGACAAAGTTTTATTGTTTCGGTGTAGTCCGGCGACAAGCGTGAACGTATGCTTATATATTCCTTACTGCAGTCATTATCTAAGCTAAGATTACCAACAAGCTTGAGGGGACTCCTTGCGCCAGTATTGGTTATCGTCCATGAGCACTCAATAGGACTTTCATCTCCGTTGTGTACAAAGTTTTCCGTTGGAAATACTATTTTAGGTACGTCAAGTACATGAAAGCTCCCTCCGCAGGCATGTCTGTAGAAGTCTACTGAGAATCGTCTTATTTTCAGCAAGTCAGTTTGCAGTATGGACAGCGTGCCACCTTGGGAGGATATGGACACAGTCGTATCAGTTGCATTCGTGTTTATTGTTTTGAGTGCCATTAGGGATCTTTCGTCTTTGAATCGGATAGCATACGCAAAGCGGTTGGTATTACTTCCATATACCAGCAGTTCTTTGATTTTAAATGTTATAGTTTCAAAACCACTTAAACCAAACTTTGAGTTGCAAAAGAAGTTAACGTTTGGCGGCAAGTTGTTCGTGTTTATTGAACCAAAAACTTGTTCGTTTATGTCTGGCGGACAAGCAGATTCCTCATCGGAGCTGTAGCGTACCTGAATTTTCCGAAAAGTTGTTATGCGTTGGTAGATATCGATTCGAATATACATAAAGTTGTCGGACGAGAGTATTTTATCAGGTAAACTAAAATCATTCATTATCTCGGTAATTTTCGAAAGCATGTCGGGATCATTGAAGAATGACATTTTTGTTGTCAAAAAGTTTGGATAGCGTTGTATGCTCGATATGAATCTGTTAAAATTATAATGAATTAAAAAAGCATACACAATGAGAGAAAATAGAGATCAGAAGAGTTTCAAAGATAAGAAATTAAATTTATGATGTAATTTTAAGAAAGAAAATTTACTGAACAAAAAAAAAAATAATTTATCTCGGACAACGGACGTCATTCTAAATGCAGTTCTATATTGTGGGCCATACTCACCTCCCGGCGAACCGACCGAGGGCGGAACGATAAGTGAAAAATTCAATAGGCCGTTGAGCGAAAACTAGTGACAGTTCGGATTGCCTTAAACCCGATACTAATCGCGGAAAAACGTCAAGACGCATAACACAAATTGGAGGACGAGCCCGGCCCAAAATCGCTACAGCGGTTGCAAAGCGCCAATTATATGTAAATAAGTAGGTTTTGATGCAAACAAAAGAGACAGAGAAATCAACGCTTACGAAGTGAGTTACACAAACACGTAAAAGGGTCGTAATCTAGCTTAGAGACCATTGTGACACCTAAATCAATGAAACCAGTAAGTTCTGCAACGTTGTGATTATGTTCATATAGGCGAAAGCTTTGAAAGAACTTTTGGAATATTTCATTTATTTGCATTTATTTAAATTTAAGGATATACAGCTTTCATAACACCACGTAAATAAATTGCTTAGGTGAAGTTGCAAAAGTTCTCTATCTTCAATATACGAACTGATTTGAAGAGCTTGACACATGAGCGCACATGAGCTTTTTCGTGGAGCATCACATTTGGCAGATCATTGATTGAAATGAGGAAGAGTAAAAGGCCGAGGACGATATTTCACTCTTTTGCATTGCTTTCCAACAATCAATTACGATGAAACCACTTGAAAAGGGAAGGAGGTAAGCCGAATTAGTCGTGTTTGAAGTGAATTGAAGAATAAGAGACGCTGTCGATTGCTTTGCTGAAATCGGTGTAAACAAAATCAGTCTGATAACTATTTGAGGTGGTGAATTCTAGCAGGTTCGACAGGGTAGATTTGCCTTTACAAACCCCGTATTGTGATAGTTCAATAATTGTTGACTCAGAACTAGCTAATTGATCTGTGTTAATTCTTAGAAGATAGAAGAAGATAGATAGAAGATAGAACATAACTTTGCGATACCTTGTTAACATAAAAAACCGTTTAGTACAATTTTGGCGTACTCTTTCCAACATCTCGGCCGGTATCTCACGAATAAATGCTTCAGTATTGTCCTCCAATGCATCAATTGAAGCAGACTTGTCTATTTAGAAAGGCGTTAAATCGCACGCTCTAGGCGGCCAATTGACCGGTCTCGAACGTGAATTAAAATGTTTACCGAACTCGCCTCTCAATAAGTCCATTGTGTGACAAGTGGCATCATTTTCGTACTACAATATATAGGAACGGACAAATCCGTAGTGGCTTCTAACGAGAGCCATGATACGGACTTCCTTTACGGAACTGCAACTACATCTTTTTCCTTCGAAATAGTAGTGCTTGAGCCCGAGGTAGCTGTTGAAGGAAGTAAACATGCCGCAACTATTACAATATCCTTAGAGGCAGTCGACATAATAGTAGAAGGTGGGGCAAAGGCAGAGGGAAGTGAGCTCGAAGTGCGATTGTCTGCTCCTCCCAATGAATTTGCGGTAACGCTTGTTACGCAACCTATGGGGGTTTGGAGATTATATCGATTTTTGGAGAATCAGAGGAAGATTTGAATGCCTACTCCTTTGTTTGAAATTTTTCGCTGAGGACTTTCAAATCCTCCCCTATTCCAAGGAACCTACTCCTTGTAATTGTGAAATGTTTAAAGATATAAGGCTCAAGTTTACTACAAACTATATAAATATTATATTATTTAATAAATCACTCAATTTAAATATTTATGTGTGAGTAAATGTATGTCCTACTCTAGGAAACCAACATTGAACAACTTTCTGATTTAATTTACAACAGGCTCTGAGCTAGACTTAAGAAATAATTTAAATTTTGGTCTTAATGAGGCAATTGGAGTATTGGAGCTTACATAAAATGATTGGCTAATATATATATGCTATTGAACTCGCATATATGGAATACAAAGATATGGTGAAAAGCAGGGAACTATTTAACATTGGATGCGAGAAAAATTCTCTTTCTTACTCATTTGAAGCTTATTAACTTTATCAAGTTGGAAGTGCACCCTATAGACTATTCTCAGTGAGCAAACTTAACTTTACGATTCCTTTGAGATCACTTAAATTCTTTGTTGTTGTTGTAGCGATTCGCTAACCCCGCTTAGGCACAGGTTTGATTAGTCTAAGTCGCCGAGGTCATCTAGTGGGAGGTTCAGGAAACGAGCTGTTTCGACGGGGTCGGACCATAGGGAGAGGGGGTTAGATGAGTTGGTTTGAGAGGGCATGTGAAGAGGTGGTTAGTGTCGTGCGAAGACTCTCCACATGCAGGGCATACGTTGGGTATGCTGGGGTCAAGTCTGGATAAGTAGGAGTTTAACCTGCTACAATATCCAGACCTAAGTTGTGTCAGGGTCACGCGGGTCTCTCGAGGCAGCTCGAGCTCGTTGCCATGTTGCGTTCGTAGTCGACACAAAGTTGAAGTGAGATATCAGTTGTGCTTGGTGTATCGCTTCTCATTAATTTTCTTCTAGCACTTTGAAATAAGTTTAAGGTTGTTTTTTTACACTTGTGGTTCCCTATAAGGCAAAATCGTTCAGTAATAAATCATCATTTCAGTGCCTGCAATATTGCGAATAGCTAAGTTCGAAAACAAAAGCAAAAACTTTCAATGCTTTACCGTCTTTTACCGTGAATTTTCGAGTGATGAACAGCGGCCTGATCTGAAAATATTCGCTCCTCAAATGATCAAGTTCTTCGAGAATCTTAGAAAAATACTATAAACTCGAATTTTCTTCACGGCTGTGCTGTGTTTTTAATTAATGATTGACTTTCACGGCATAAAATAAACAAGACAGTTCTAAACACATGAACTCTGTATGCCAAGGTATATGCGAGCAACTGCTTAAAAGTTTCTCTGATATTTGAAATTCAAGCAGTAAAAGTTTGGCAAAATGTTTCTTAGTATTTTAATGACTTTTAAATATAAAATTTATTTTTAAAATATTCGAGTTCCTACTCAAAACGTTCGAGTAGTGAGCACTAAAATAATGCTCGAATTTTTTGAAAATGTTCGGAAAAAATGTGGATCTTTCGTTTCTTCAACTCGATCCAACCCGAACTTAGTTGCGCTTACTTGTGATATCAACCTAAATGAAATGAAACTTACCGCTCAGTATTATTGTTAACACTTTCAGCTTCGAATTTATCAAATTCTAGAGTTACACGCTGCCCTTTCGGCACTTTGATTTTCCATCTGCAGGAAATAAATATCGCAGAACGGGACTGCATATTTAGTTTTATAACACCTGAGGTGTCTTCGACATCACGATAACAAGAACCATATAATCGATTGTACCTTAACTTAAATCCGCGATGCCGCTGGGTGGTGGTAAATGTTATAAAACGTAGCCTGACCGCACTATAGTCAACTTCTAACACCGGCTTGGTTGTGGTATTACCGTATAATACAGCTACGGTTTCCGGATTTTCGTCGAGGGTAGTTATTTCAATGCGATCGGAACGATTCAAATTTGTATATTCGAAATGCAAATCGAAATCGGTGAAATTCAAACTTATCCTCGATGTACGCGGCATTTTTATTGTGTATTCACAAGCGCTTGGCTTAGGATAAGCCCCAGGCGTGGGGTAACCACTGGATGTTATTTCACCATTTATGTTTACGTAAGTGCCACCACAAGTCGCTATAGAGATATTGAGGTGAAAACCATTTCGCGGTTCACTTATATCTGTCAAATAATGCACACGAAGTATGTTTCCAGTGGATCGAATCGCATTTGGTTTTGTGCAAAAGCGTCCCAAACTACGTGAGAGCTCCGTGGAACCATCGAAAAACTCAATAAATTCTTGGTTGCAATAGCGTGTATTAAAGCTGAAAGTCTCTATGAATTCCGCTTGCAATGTTTCGCCGACGGGACCCATAATAATCCAATTGCACTCGGTGTGCGGGTTCGGCACATTCGGATAATTAGGTGAGCTGATATTGACCGCGTTGAGGTAATGCGTCAGTTGTATTTCCGTATCGCAATCGCCGATTTGATGATAGGTTAGATTGAAGTCTAGATCCTTTTCAAATGGTGTGGTCCAATTCAGATTATATTTAATTGTTAAACGGTTCGTGGATGACTCCATATTCTTAACATTTAGACCCATTTGGTTGCATATACGACCAGGGGATAGTATCGGCGCATTATCATCGAAACCGTCGTAGATGATCGCATATTGTCGGCATTCTTGTGTCTTTGGTATAATGTTCTTGCCAAAATTGAAATCGATAGCGATTCTCTTACCCATTTGCACTTCAATGTGCCATATGCAAAGCGAATTGGAACTCCACGAGCGCATAACATTTTTGGCTACTATTTGTCCTGTCAGATCGGTCATGTTGGTACCACATGTAGTTTTCGCCAACGACGTAAAACCGCTGCCATTAATGCTGGAGTCGGTGTGCAATAGAAGTTTTATATATGGTGTGCCATGTACGACTTTAACTGGTTCTAAGGACATGTCCCTAGTATCATACATATCCAGCTCTTTATGCCAATCTCTCAAATTAGTCGACGTGAAGATGCGTAAGTAATCTTCTCCAAAAGTTTCGAGCTTGACTTCATATATCCTCAATACAACGTGCTCCATGGGGTCTTCTGATTTTATGATCCATTCACAGTCTAAATCGTTAGCATAGCCATTGGGATAACCGGGCGAGGAGATATTCAGACGTTGCGCATTATTTATAATAAATGTCTTATTGCAATCGCCGTTCGATGAATTCGTTGGGGTCACACTACTGTTAACGGTTTTCCAAACAACTTTGAATGCGTCCAACTCATCATTATTACTCACCAAATATAGGACATTACTGCTGGATGTGAATTGCCAAGGAGAAACGGGTATTGGTATCTCCAATGCCAAATCATCAAACCCGTCGTATAACTGAAAAATTTGCAGAGTTGCTCAGAGCGCATAGGTTTTCCAATATAGATTCTTACCCTTAGACCTCGATTATAAACTTTGAATTCAATAAAAATGAAATCTCCTCTCGGCAAGGTAATCCTCCATGTGAACGGCTCTTGATTACGTATAGAGTTCAAAGGCGGCGACTCGATCGAACCAGTGGTGCTGTTCAGCTCATTAGCGTGTACTACGAAAAAGTGCAAAACGAAGTTTATAAAAAAGAACGTTTTAAAATATCGTTAACAAAAATTTGGGCTTAAAGGTTCGCTGAACAGTAATTGCAGCGCCAATTTACTGAAAATGCGAGCCAGAGTCGACTTTAAAGCAAGCTAGCCCACACCAGGGTGGGCAAAGAAGGTGCTTTTGGCACTACAGTTGGGAGATTCATGACGAAACTTTCGTATTTTTACATGCAATACTAGAATAGAGAGGCCACCGGATCGAAAGACTCGAAATCAGATCGACAATGTTGTGATAGATGGAATAGACTTCTCCACGACGGGCCCAAACATTGACTTGAAACACTTTCTTGTTGCAGACAATTACGTGTATGTGTCAGCCTCTGGGCAGCACAAAAGGAACGCAGGGAAGTTTCGTAGTAGAAAAGCTGCAATCACAACAGACATCCAAGTAGTTTTCTACTCGAGTTCTACTCCTGCTCTCTGAGGACACTTATTAAAAAATCGTTATAAGGGGAAATCGTTATAAGATCCATACGTATTGTTGCAAACAAAGCCATTGGTTTTCGTAACGGCAGTGGGTGGTGAACCCGAAACCCCAATATTAGGCGAATAGTTCCATCACCCAAATATGACGAATAGTTTGAAAAATGAAATAGCGAGGGTAGGAGCTGAGGACTTATCGGCTGAGCTACTCAAGTTTGGAGGCGAAGAACTCACGGGGCACATACTTCAGCATTTTTGCAGAATATTATCCGACGAAACAGTCCTCGACGATTGAAACCAGTCTATGCACTGCCTAACATACAAAAAGGGAGAACCCGTCATCTGCATTAATTTCGGTCGTAGGATAAGCCTCATTAATATTGCATATAAGTTGGTATTGTGCATATTGTTTGAGTGGTCCATGAGCTGATTCAAATTCACTTTCCATTATTATTGGCCAGATATTCCCCAAATCAAGAAAAACACCCAAGAGAAAAAGATCAACTTTTTGTCGATTTTAACGCTTCTCTCGAGTTCGGTATCCCCGAAAATTTAAACGGCTACAATAATTACCGCTGACTGATACTAAAAGCTCCGTCAGAATCGGAAAGCACCTCACCTCTTTCAAGTTTGAATCAAAATGAAGAAAAGAAGATCCAATTAATATCTTGTAGACTTTCATTTTCAACACCCTGTAACTCACAACTGAATGCACCAAACAGAATATAAATTTCATGATCAATTTCAATGTATGTAAATATGTATGAATGTCAGATGTGCGTATTTTGTTTACTCACCGTAATTCCATTGCAGTTTAAATCCATTCGCTGTATTTCCCTCAACACTACGGAACTTGAGCCATGCCCTTTCAAATACAACAATTCGATCTGTCACAACCTCATTTACGCAAAATACTTGTAAGATCTTGCCAAGTGCACTCGTTTGACGTATTTCCAAAAAGTCTTCATTACAGTTTTCAGATTTTACGATATCCAGTTCGTTGATACTCAACTCAAGGTAATTGCCTGGCGATGCTTTAATTTCCCAAACGCATTCAATATTTGACGGATAGGATTGGGGATAGTATGGTGAAGTCAGTATGCCTCTCATTGAGGTGAGAGTGCCTCCACACGTAGTCTGTACAATACTATATACGGCTTTGAACTCAATTTTTGTGGCAACAATATGTAAAGCGTTGGTTGGTAGTATAATATTGGATTGATGATTATCACAGAAACTATTTAGTTCGCTTTTATCATTGCCATTTATTAGCTACAAAAAGGAAAAATTAATTTAATTCGTGTATTAGCACAGCTCACTTAGATGACACTACTTACCCTCAAGCCGTTGGTACAATTTGCCTGCTTGGAACAATCACATTCTAGGTGATGTATATCAAGGAAAATTTTTGATCCCTGCGTTTCGATTCTCCACTCACAATGTTCATCCCAACGAGATTTAATATAACCAAAAGTGTCATTCAAATAACCGCCGCAGGCCTTGGTGAGTAAAGAGTAAAGAATATTAACGGTTTTATTGAGTGACATTAGAGTTCCGATAATTACTTATTACAAATCATACTTTAGCCTACCGACTTTTGTTAAAACACATAAGAGTAGCCGATGATTGCGGAGATGCTACTTACCTTCTTGAATTTGAAAGAAAACGTTCCCCAACTCGCTCCGCTCGCTTTGTAAATCACTCTAAGCCGATTGCTTTGGACCCATCTGCTTTCGGGTAAGGCGCTTCCACAAGTTTTTTGTACAAGCTTGGTTTCTTTAACGCCTACATCCCAAATACTCAAAAACGTGTCAGTACAACTGATATTAAAACTATCGAATACAAGATTTATTCCATAGCTATTATCCACTGTGATCAACCACACACACTCCGTATTTACGTCCGTTCCAGCCGCATATACAGGGTACCTAATGTGTCCACTATTGCCTCGGAAAGTTCCACCACAAGATGCTGGTCGTGCACGGTAAGCACCTGAAATATATTTTCTTGCTCGGGTGTTGCTTGTATAGAAATGGATGTTTAAGTGATTTGCTGATGATGTTACAGTAACGGGAACTTGGTCTATACGACATTCTTTTAACAGATAAGAAGTTGAATTCTTCTCATCGGAAACAACAATGCCGTCCTCACTGCAATCACCCGATTCGCTTTCTATATGGATCTCGTCAAAGCTAAGTACAATTCTCTTTCCAGCCTCAACTTCAATCTGCCAATCACAATTCAAACCGACGCTAAAGGGCGCATTAGGCGATTGTATCGAGCCATAATTTCCAGTCAATACACTTCCACAACCAATCCTTTTGTATTCCAACCTAAAGCCTTTTGCATGACCAGAGTAATCCGTGACGAATTTTACTTGGAACCGGTTGCCTTCAGTTGTTATGGCTTTAAGAGGATTCGAGCACAAATGCTGCTTGGAGAGGACATCATCGTTTCGCAAATCGAAAATCTCGATATAATCGAAACTGCATTCGTCATTTCGGATTTCACTCTCGAAATGCGAAAATATCAATTGGAATTTATTATTTTGACCACCGTGTATGTCCCAGAAGCAGTTTAAGTTTGGCGGATAATTGTCGGGGAAATTCGGAGACTCAATCACACCTTGCAAGTTGTCTAGTTTAACAACACAGTTGGTCTCGTAATCGATGACGAACGGCAAGCCAGCATTTGCGTTCGTCTTTTTAAAGTTATAAATGATTACAGCTTGATTTGTAGAGGTCTTCAACTGAACTGTAGTGCTATTGTACCCGCAATTGAATTTCAGTTGCGGATTGCTCACAGTTGAGCCATCGTTGACTGTTAACGTATCTTGGTCGCAAATATTCAAGCTATTTCCAGTAAGTGTAATGTATATGCTAATTGTGGATCCTCTGGATACGGTTATTTGCCAATCACAAGATATGGATCCACCATAAATATCAGAGTTGTGAGGTGAGTGTATGGAGCCCGTGTACGAGGTGAGCTTGCCGCCGCAGCCGGTTTCAGTTTGCTGCCATGTCAAATAAAATCCCTTATCAGTGAGATATGAGTCGGAAATAAAATTAAGGTAAAGATAATTTGCAAATGATGGTATCCGCGTGGGTATAGTGTTGCCACAGTATTTGCCAATCAAAGGGGATGTTGCGCTTTTGCCGTTTCTATAAAAGACGAAATTAAATGGATTTCAAGTATTATAAACTTTTAAAAATTAATTTTAATTAAAATATTTGATTTAAAATTATTAATTATTTAATTATTAATAATGATACTTTTGAACAATGTCCACGTCGAGAAAGATCTGTAAATACTATTATGTATTAGCTGTGGTGAATACATCTTCAGAAATTGTAGACTCAGAGGAGGTCGAGAAAATTAAAACAAATTTATCATATCGTTAAATTTAACTGCCTCTTACGTGATCTTCACATTATCAGTCACTCAAAAAAAACGGCCCCAAATGTGCCGGAGAATTTTCATTACTTTGGACTCCCTCTGCATACCCGCGTAAAGTATTGAAACCCTTAAATGGTGTGTAAACAATGAGTAGCGTTATTAAAAAAATTTTTGGAAGTATAAAACAGCCATGATGTGACGCGAACTTCAACTACACAAAATGATAACTGAAGAAAATGTGGCAGCGTAGTTTTAAGGGGCACACTTAGTGTGAAATTTAAAAAAAAAAAATCGATCTTTTTTTCATATTTCGGTAGATTACACCTTTAAAAAAACATATTCAAAAATCGGTATCTCAAATAGTTTTTGAGTTATAGCAATTTAAAGAGCAGCCGCTCGGCAGCTAGAGAGTCTCATTAGCTACGAGTGAAAATGATTATTTTATCTTTAAACGCGTTTTTCTCGAAACAGCATTTTCCGAATTTGCTGCAGTGATTACTCAAAAAGAAATTATCCGATCACTATCGAATCTTTTTTTACATTTTCTATATATAGTTCTTCGTACAATAAACTATCGATTTTTGATCTGATCAAAAAGTCGAAAACGACTAAAAATTTTTTTAAAACTCCGCCATTTTGTCAATTTTTGATTTTTTATCGTAGGTTGTACAGACAAAATTATCTAGTTTAACGAGATTCTTTTTTTTTAGATTTCATCCACGGAGAAGGCCGGAATCATTACAGCATTGAAGGACCATTTTTTTATTCCTTCAAAAATTTCACTGCACATTCTTTAAACATGTAAAAATATATTCTTAAAATTTTGAAATAATTGATAAAGTATTTTTTTTTAATAAACATTCCCAAAAATCGCCTTTTTCAGGCTATTACACTAGGTGTGCCCCTGGTGGTTAACTTTGCGTACTGACATTCTGCAGACCAGGGAGCGACTCCTGATTCGACCAACAACCAAAATGATATAAAATTAATTTTTCTAATTGCAATCGCTCCTCGGCAAACCTTTATTTAGGAAGATCTCAGTGCATTGGTCTTTCTAAAGAAGTATCGGAGATTCTGCCTTCAGGATTTATGCTATCGTAACCGATAGATAAAGATGTTGGCATTCTTTTTTGAAAAAGACGAAATGTACAAGAATATACTACCTATTGTGGATAGTAAATAATATAATGAACACGAGTGGCTCAAATGAGTCGACTTAAAAATGGTGAACTTTTATTTTTTTTTTGACAAAATATCCTTGTTTTATTTGTGTGTGAGAGCTAAGTTTGAGCACTGAGTTAGAGAATATTGGCCTTCCAATGATAATCTGTGGCCTTAGGAAACAAATTGCGATAAATGAACCCTTTGAGCCCAGGAATCGTATAATATTGCAACCTTTAGTTATAAGTTAGAGCTTTTGAAACAATTTGTCAAGGGTCTTTGCAATGGTTGTAAATAAATCACTTAAGCGGTCCTTGAATTGAGCACAGAGAAACCTACAGCCGGAATTTTGAAGGGTCCACAAATATCAAGATTGGTAAAGGGTAAAAACGAGCATCGCCACAGCCAAGCTGAGTGGAGCACAAGGGGTACTGTTTCGTCTGGTATCAGCACGTCGAAACAGTACAATCTTAGCCATAATATTTCATGCAATAAAAATAATGTAAAAGCAACGACTATCATTTGGAAAAAAGTTAAGTTTTAAAGTTTTTATATAAAACATGTTTGCCTCAAATTATTCCTCGCACCAAAACATTTTCCTTCGCGATTGGCCAACATTACTTGTGGGAAATTCAGTTTACCCACGCAAGACAATCATCGTAATTACCGGGTGTTCCAACATGAGGTGTTATTTTGATATTAAAAGGAAAATAATATTTTTTGAGTTAAACGCCCTTTTATTAAATTTTTTATTACTGAATCACAAAGAGGCTTTTGTGATAGCTTTATTAATTACATCGTTGAAGTCTTTAACCGACGTTGGCGTGTTGATGTAGACCTTATCTTTCACGTGACCTCAAAGGAAGAAGTCGCAATGTGTTAGATCACTCGATAAGGGTGACTAATTGTAATCAACTTTCCAGAGATAAAACGTTCAGAAAATTTTTCCCTTGAAAGATCGATGTCTTCTTTGCTTGTGTGACACGTAGCGTCGTCTTGTTGAAAGTAAAAGTTGTCCAAATCAATGTTATACAATTTCGACCATACAAAATCATTAAGCATCTTTCGATTACGCAGTCCATTCACCGTAACTATTGCTCCAGCTTTATTTTCGCAAAAGTCAGGTTCAATGACCCCACCAGAGCATAATCCACACCAAACAGCAGATGCGACAGTTTTGCTTATTGACATAGCCATCGAGGTGTAAATGGTCCTCATCAGCCAAGATGATATTTCGATGAAATTACGATCATTTTTAGGTATTTAAAAGTCTCAATCAGCAAAGCCACGACGTTGTTGATGATCGGCCGGAATGACGTTTGTGGAATGACAGATTCCAAACAACTATGAGAGATTGACAAAACTGGAATTTCTTCAACAGTTATATTCTCAGTTGTTCTTGAGCGATCTGCACGTCACTTACTTTACCCAGCAGCTTAATTTTTTCCACCTGTCCTGTATTGCGAGCCGGCAAGGTTCTTCACGATGATTAAAATTTTTTTTTAGTTTTACGAACTTCTCTGCCAGGTTTTCACCATTTTTGTAGAGAATTTTAATAATTTACATGCGTTTTTGAAGCGTGCATCGTTCCAGTTTCATTACTAATTACTATAATGTCAAAATATTACAGTGACATCTACCGGAATGAGAAGCTTTTCAAAATAATACCTCTAATTGGTGTTATTTGCAAAATTTAAAGTGAGCACGTCTCGTTGATTACGGGGCGAGAAAAAAAGTGATGATTAGACATTGCCAATAAAATGCATCAACTAAATGAAAGGCCGTACCTGTGATGTCTATCAAATATTTTCACAAAAAATTAAATATTTAAAAAAAAAAAATATTTTGGAAAAAATCCCTTTTTACAAAGAACCATTCCTTTTCTCTCACTCTGCGATCTCCAAAGAAGCTGACACTTCTACCATTTCTCTTTGTTGTAAAACAAAAAAAAAATAGGTCATTCGCCCACTCACTTACTAAGCAAAAATTAATAGTACAGGCAACAAAAACAATTATGAAAAATCGCCATGCTTCGAAGTAGTCACCTGATTTCCAGATAATCGTCGTTGCAATTTTTCGATGTGGTCTCTACACTGAAATTCCTTGCCACGATTTCTATTTTGTGACCCAACGGCGCTTCTATTATCCATGTACAATTCAATGAATCACCGTAATTCTGTGGCCAAGATGGCGTTTTGATAGTACCGTATTGTGCAGTGAAAGTGCCGCCACAAGCTGAAATGGATAAAAGTGAAAGTTTTAAAATGATTGAATATTGAAATGCTTCAGGTCATGTTGTCTACTCCACTACTATAGCTACATTTTGCGGATGTAGCTATTGAACTCTAAAGCTTTATCTTTATTCCGTAATTTGTCATTTAGTAGAAACTAATTTAATAATTATATTAAGACATGGATTTGGCTACTCCCTAAACCCTGTAACTATTCTCAGACTGACTTTCTATATCTTTGGGTTTCCTATAATTGGCGCTTTGTAATCACGGAAGCGATTTTCCGCCGAGCTCCTGGTGTGGTTTTTGGCGTCTTCATGTTTTCCAACAAATGGAGGGACCTACAATTTATACTAAGGCGCCTCCGAACGGCTGATGGTTTTTTGTGCATTATTTCAAGTCAGAAATACATTCGGAGGGGTTGGCATTCCCTGCCGAAGGGCGACCGCAATTAGAAAATTCAGCTTAATTTTTTATTATTTTAGTTCCCTAAGAAATCCCAATTTTCCGTTTACTTCAACGTCTGCTACACCACATTATGATATCCACATTCTAGCAAATCTTTTCACATCTTCTATAATCCAAAGAAACACCAACGATTTTACTGCAATTCCCCAACAGCAACAGACTTGACGGAAGCCCATTTAATAGCCCCTCCTCAGAGAATAATCACTGTGCGATCTCCTCGTTAAGAGCAGAGTTGTGTTTCCCCCTTAACTAAAATAACCTTATTCGTCGTTCCTTGCCACTCAAAAGTCCAAATGGGTTATATCCAATTTGTTTAGAAGTTTCATTAAGAAGTCAGTATACAAGGGTAAGATCAGTCTGTGTTGGGCTGCAGGAGCCATTAAGTGATATTTGACAAATGTGCTACATACGCTTCTGCATCAAATGCTTATGGACATTTTCATTTTCACCGACAAGGTCAAAATGGACTGATTATTTCCCTATATGGGTTCCCGGTAATAAGAATGTTTTTTTCAGGAGCCTTATTAAAACGAGTAATCGGCTCCCACGTCACTGTTGACAGTCATAACATTGAAGTCGTAGATATCTTCGTCTATCTTGAAAACAATATTAACAGCCGAGGGATTATGACGAAGTGTACGAGACATTGATATAGTTCATCGCATCAAGAAACAGCTGTTGCGCTGGCAAGGCTATATGTATAGAGTATATAGTTGAAACCACATATTTACTCCAGAAATGTCGAGGAAAGGCAGCTCTTCACAATTTGAAAAAATGGCTCAAAACAATTATAAGATGGCACTACAGATTTGGTCCAAGTATGATAAGATAAGCTAAACATACAGAAAATATAGTCTAATATATAAATAATGGATTATTGTTTCTTACGGAGCTGGCATTAAAAATTACCCTTCTATATATATAACAGCCGTGTCCGCAGGTGCTAACTAAGAATCAGGGAAACAGTTATTCCTTTCTCTACTAGTGTACAACTCCTTCAGGAATTAGATATATACTGTTGTACTTAGCATCAGGCTGATACTGAACCTCGAATTGCTGTCCTTAAGATGTACATATATGAGATATACATAAATCATCAATTGGTTTGTGCGCAATGATCAAATTAAAATGGCGTATCTAGCGCTAAGTGTGTTTGCGGCTAAAATCTATGAGGCAGCAGTCCCACCTACCTACGTAAATATGTATGTATCTACATTCCGAACGAATGACAACCATTGACAATTTCTCTTAAAATTCGGTAGTATTGAGTTTTCCGCCTATATGGTTGTGGAGAATTGAAGGAGTCGTTCTAGGCAGCACTATGTTGTGCATGTTATAAACTCATTCGAGTATGATATTCAAAATTCGGGCTACACTTTGGAATTTGCTCACCTGCTTTGTTATCGACGATGTTATAGCCGAGACCAAAATTAATAGGAATGTTATCCTTTCGCCTCATACGTAAAAATATGGTAATGATGTTTGCATGGAAAGATTCCCGGATATCTTTGGCTTTGCCGCAAGAGCTGAAATAATTGTTAGTTTAACGCTCAACTTTCGAATCATACTTACATATCTACAAATGCATGACGATCTTACCTCATCAACAGCTGACCGTCACTGAAAGTATCATTGGAATAAATTGCTATGTCCATTTCACCTGGACTGCATGGGGGAGGAATGCTCAAATAATATATTTGCAAACGCATTTGAATGTGTTTTCCTTTTGGCGCTTCAATGACCCACTCGCAATTCTCTGCCGTTTCTCCAGTGGCGCTATGTAGCGGGAAAAAGCCGCTTTCTTCTGTGAAAACTCCACCGCACTTAATTATTTCAAAGTGATAGTCAACACGTATGCCCCGGCCCTTTTGCTTATTACTACCGCCATGGAAGACTATACTCAAGAGGTTTCTCTCCGATATCAAATGGAGAAACGCGCCTTCATAATAACGACGCTTAACATTTTTCGCCAGATAGACCTGTGAGGGATAGAAACCGATAACGTGTTGATAACGCAATTGCTTAGGGAACATAACTTCGGGTGGACTTACATCGACATAAGTTTCGTCAACGTCAATAGCAGTGTCGTTCAATGCGGATTCAATGGCAGCTTCACTTGAGTCACCCTGTGGCCCATTTTTACTTATAGAAAAGTCTGTAAAATTCGCATGTACGACAGAATTTGCTGGACCACGTATGATGAAAGTGCATTCCATATGTTCGTAATAAGAGTTTGGATAATTTGGCGTTGTCAGAAAACCAGCATCAAAGCCTTGAATTTCACTATTGCAAACTTAAAATATACGAAATTTTTGTATTAGATATTTGATAAATATAATTTAAATTATATATGAACAATATTTATTTGGGTATGTACATGTATGTATATAAAGGACGTGTACGTACTTCTAGTATATTTCACCTCAAAATTCTTTGGCAGACTGAAAGAGGGCAAAAGGTACTCATAACGCAGGAGAATCACATTGTCGCTGGATGTTATTGGATCGGTTTCCTCTTGCTTGCCACATAGAACCTTCAAGAGATTGCTTTCGTCTGTAGCCCCATCGAAAACCTTACAATTAAATAAGTTATTACGATTATTTCTTTAGAAGGAGATGAATTTAAAAATGCTGCAAAGTCGGTTGTCAGTCATGGTTAGGACTCCAAATCCTTAAAATTATTTTAAAAAATATCTCATATAAAAGTCGATAGCTAGAAAAATGTAGGCCTCATTAAAAATACTTATAAAAAATTATTGAAGGAACGCTGGACGTTGTTTGCACTTCATTCTTGTTCTTTGGGCGCACGATTCATCAAATATAAAATTGTCTTATTCCGCAAATTGGATCATACTTTTCTTTTAACTCAACTTGTCAATACCGTGATAGCCTTTATATTAATTTTGAGTAGTTGCATTTTTTCATGTACTGTTTAATTTGGGTCCGTAAGAGGTGATCTGCTGAATGCTATATAGTTTTTAGAAGGAACTTTTCGTCAACCCGCTGAATGAACTTAAGATTAAATACCAAGAGATGTCAAATCCCGAAACCCCAAACCATGATGATGGTATATATCTTCCATAAGCCATCTTAGATGAAGTTCGATTAGCGATTGCCTGTTTTGTGGGCGGCAAACCACAAAAAGGGAGAACCTGCAATCTGCGCCAATCACTTGCAGTATCACATATAAGATCCCATTGAGCGAACTTTATGATTGATAAAGGTCCACTGTCAACAGGTTAATTAGACCTTTTCTGTCTATTTAAATACTGGAAAAGACATCTGAAAAGAAAATTAAAACATACACCTTTTGCTGATTATAAAGCAGCCTTTCTCCCTAAGTTCTAATTTGGTACCACTGAAAAACTTATGTGGCTTTGTAAGCTGACACTATAAAACATGAATAGCACGATCAGCATCGGAAAAAATCTCTCCGAGCCGTTCGTTAAATGAGGTTTCAGACTCAGTCACTGTTTATCAGGTGACTACTTCAACCTAAAGCTGAAGAAACTAACACGATCTGCAAAGCTAAATAAATAAAAAATTTAGAGTTTTCTACAAGAGTATATAAATGATGATGTATGCTGACAATATTATCAAGACTAAGTAACGAAAGAAAGCGCATTAGTTTTGTGACGAAACTTCTCCTAGAATCAACAGCCATATTCCGCCTTGGATGGACACATCATTGTTGATATTATTAACTTTGAAGTTATAGACAGTTTCATCTACTCAGCAGTCAGCATCAACACCAATAGTAAAGTCAGTTTTGAGATCCAACGCAGGATCACTTTTGCCAACTGATCCTACTTTGGACTGAGCAGGCAATTCAAAAGTAAAGTCCTCTCTCGGCGAACGAAAACCAAACTGTATGTAGATATCGCTCAGTCTTTCAGTCCTACTTTATAGTTAGAAACGTGGACGAGTATGACAAGCGATCAGTCGTCGAGAAAAAAGATTTATGGACCTTTGCGTATTAGCAACTGCCAACAACGCATACGACACAATTCAGCGAATTAAGAGACAGCGGTTACACTGACTAGATCATGTCGTCCGTCTGAAAGCATTCGGTGCAGTAACCGCTGGTGAAAGTGTAGTAAGAGTAGGACGTCCACTCCATTGGACGGATAGTGGTTATTAAGAACAAAAAAATTAAATTAATTAGAAAAAATTCGATTGCACCATCAGAACGCGGCATTATACAAAAACAATTCTCAACCCCAGATTTTATGGCGAAAACTTTTAAGAACCATACGGCAAGCGCAACTATGTCTACAATTATTTACACTTAACTTTTTCCTATCTTCATACTCAAAGGATAATTTTTTTAATTAAAATGACAAAAGTTTAATTTAGGCAGCAACAACAATCATTACTGTATGCACTTTACCTGTATCTTTTGTACGTAGCAACCTTCGGATCTTAAAAGATCAACGTTTGTAAATTCCAGCTGAATTTTGGTGCCGATCGGTTGCTGTATGAGATACGAACAAACACGCCCATTAATGTAGCCTGTAATTATGCCGGTGGCTTCCGTAAAAACGCCCCCACAATTCGGAGCACTCGGTACAACTTCGTAGTGTAACTGAAATGAGCTGTCTGTTCCGTAAGTATCTGTATGGAATTGTAGTTGTATGAGATTCGAAGAGGAATGCAGTGGCTCTATTAAAGAGGGCTCGCATACTGATCTCAATAATAGGTCCGAATCGTATATCTGCAAAAGGTGCGATTGAATTTATTACATTAAATGAATTGATTGTGTTAAGATTTTCAGTATTTACCATTACGGTGTCGCGTGTACAGTTATTGTCTCTTGTGCTACCTAAATTAATTTCAAAGAATCTTAAGATAAATCGATAACCAAAAGGAGCATTTAGTTTCCATTCACAGTCTCGACCAGGTGGTGCTTTCCCCGGATATCCCGGCGATCGTATTAATCCATTTGCATTGTCTTTAAGGTTGAATACATCGCCACAGATATATTCGATGGAATTCCAGGTTAAATTAAAACCAGCACCGGTGGTTTCATTATCCGAGCGAAACCAGAAAAACATCGAATTTTGTGTCGTTAGTATATTACCACCAAGTGGCAGAGACTTTCCGCAAAATCTTCCTATCAATCTCGAAGCGAGCGAGCGGCCATCATGCAATTGTAACCAATCCTTGTTGCAGTCAGCAGCTGCCTCCAAATCGAAAGTACTGACAGTGACATTCAAAATGAGCGCATTATCTGTGCGTATAATCCAAGCGCAGCGTTCATTTGGCAAATAATTTCCGCCACCGGGTGGGTAAGACAAACTGCCAGTGCGCATTCGTATTATGGATCCACAAACGTCGCGCACGATTTCACAGTTTCGGCCGGTGGTACCACGCGGACATGAGCAACGATATTGATTATTTTGGAGCAAAGTGCAGGAGCCGCCATTGAGACATGGCTTAGATTGGCAGGCGTCTGGTTGATCGCATGTTGGCCCAAGAAATCCAGCAGCACAAAAGCACCGTGTTCCACCACCAATAACCTCGCAAGTTGCATTATTCTTGAAATATTAGTTGAGTTATAAAAAGTTTTAATTCCATACAGATTTCCGGGAATACCCGGGCGAATTAATCATTTTCCCTTTCACGGTGCTATACACTTACCTGACAAGTATGATTTGTACAGGGATTTGTTATTGGCTGTACAGTACAGCCATCAGTACCGAATCCATGGCCATACATACCGGGAGGACAAGTGCACACAACTGTATTGGATATATATTCACATTTGGATCCGGGGTAGCATATATTTTTCGACGCGCAGCTCTCCGGAGCACTGCTCTCACATATTCGTCCATCACCTTCCCAACCTATGGGGCAATTACCACAGTGATATGATCCCTATGAAATTGTAAAAAATATAATTTTCTTTACATTTTAAAAAAATAAGAGCTGGACAAGTGTGTTTACATATATATTACTATGTTATACTCTTATGGGGTATACATATAGTGGGTCACAGTGGGTATTTCAGGGGCACATCCAGTGCGAAATTTAAAAAAAAAAGCGATCTCTTTTTCATATTTCGATAGATCAAACTTTTAAAAATAACATATTAAAATTTCAAATCGATATCTCAAATAGTTTCTGATTTATATCAATTTAAAGAGCAGCCGCTCGGCAGCTAGAGAGTTTCATTAGCTACGAGTGAAAATGATTATCTTATCTTTAACGCGTTTTTCTCGAAACAGCTTTTTCCGAATTTGCAAAAACAAATGATCCGATCACTATTGAATTTTTTTTTACATTTTCTATATATATAGTTCTCCATACAATGATCTTTCGATTTCTGATCTGATCAAAAAATCGAATTTTGGCAGGCCAAAAACGGCCAAAACTTTGGGTAAAATTCGACTATTTCTTTTCAAACGCCACCATATTGCCAATTTTTGATTTTTTTTTGTTGTTGGTCATTGTACAGACAATTTTATCTTATCTAGAATTTATATTTTAAATTTCATCCAGGGAGAAGGCTGGAATCACTGCAGTAGTGAAGGACCTTTTTTTCGCGCCGTTGGAGATCGACTATAACTAAAAAAATATTTAACTTTTTTCTTCAAAAATTTCACTGTATATCCTTGAAAGGTGTGTAAATTTATTCTTAAAATTTTGAAGTAATTGATAAAATATTTTTTTAATAAAAATTCCCAAGAATCACTATTTTTAGGCCATTACACTAAGTGTGCCCCTTAATACAGCAGCCGACATAAATTTAGAATCGCGATTTATTGAAATAACAATCTCATGCTTTTTCTGATTTTTATACGTTTTTTGTTTTCTGAAAACCTTTCCTATAGCTTTAAAAAATCACCCTTTATATGTCCGTTTAAAAAATGGACAAAAATATGTCTCTAAAAACTTAAAAATTCACTTTTAAAATAAACAAAATTTTTGGAGAAGAATATTTCAGATTCCCACCGAATGTATATTATTAACAATATTGTTATGATCAGCGTTAAAGACCGGACTTACCTCTGTGTTAATACAAGACACTTTAGGACGCATGCTGCACCCACCATTATTCACGGCGCACTCATCAATGTCCGAGCAAGAAATGCCATTACCTGTGTAGCCATCGGGACATGGACTACATTTAAAGCTACCAGGTAGGTTGATGCACTCACTGTGACAGGGATTCGTTGACTCGTCACACTCATTTATATCTATGCTGCATGCAGCTTCTGGAATTACTTTATTCTTTGTCCACCCTTGATCACAAATACAGGCGAAGCCAGCATCATTATTTGCTGAAACACAAGTTCCATGGCCACACAACTCTTCATTTCCGCCTTCTTCACAAGCTACTTTGCGTATGCGACAGTGAGTGCCATAGAATCCATTACGGCAGGAGCAACTAATGTGCAGATGGCATATTAAATACTAATAAATGCATACAAATAGCATTGCATACCTGTAACTTCCAAGCGTGTTGATGCAGTCTCCATTGTTTTGACAACCCAAATCTGTACCCGCATACAGGTAACATTCGTCGACATCCTCCTCGCATGTTTTTCCCTGCGAAGTGAATAAGATTTAAACACTTAATCTTTTACAAACAAATTTCCAAAACAACTTTACGAAATCTGGATTTTAAAACTTGCTCAAAATTTTATTATATAATTTAATAATCATTTTGAAACGCTGTACTTATTTATCATGATTATTTTCTTATAAAAATGTTTGATTTCTTTCCCAGTTTCTTTTTGGAAAGGCCAATCTACGAGTAGTTTTTGTATTATTTTCATCCTAACATAACGATTCTATGATTTCTTTAGATGCTGGTCATTTCCAGTCGGTTTTATGGTCTAGCCGTCCTACACTTATATTTCAGAAAACTACATAGTAAAACTGCCACTCCTTTAGAAAGACCAGGCGGAGAAGAACCTGGCTGTACCTGGTACTTCCAATGAGCATCACACAGTGAAAAGGAGGAATGATTGGCGCGCGAAAGTAAAATTTCTTAAAAGAACTCTGGACAGGAAGATGTAATCATAGGAGCTTACACAGGCATACAAAGTAAACTTTTCTGAATAATCGATGTTGCTTGGTAATGGAAAATACTATCTTTACTGTGTCCCCTCAACTACGACCGAGATCATTAAAACTGTAATCCATTCGAGGCACCCTTAAGCGATGTCCATTCATTATAATGGTTTAACTATTGTTGTAGACGGTTCATTATTTTGTAATCTCGTCCACTACAGCATCACTAGAAATATTTCTGTGCTGTATGAGCGTGACTAACGTCTTGAAGACGAGGTGTGTCAATTAAGTAAAGAGACTGATTCTATAACAACCGTATATTTCAAAATTATTCTACAACTCTGCCATCACCTTCAAAGTAGTCCCCTTGTGCAGCTATATGACGATTCTAGCGCGTTTTCCATGCTTCGTAACATTTCTGGAACGCTTTAACTGGTCCGTGAGTACCCTCGCCTCGTTCGCCTGGATTCCTTTAACCACCGATTTTGTTTTAGGGAACAAAAAAAAGTCACAGGGAGACATATCGGGCGAATAAGGCGGTTGTTGTAACACGGCGGCACCTTTAGAGGCCAGGCACTGGGTCACGTTGCGGGCGGTGTTGCACGGCATGTTGATGAAGGATCCAGTTACAAGCGATGTCTTTGGCGCACTCTGTTGACTCGATTTCGCAATCTTTCGAGTAATTGGCGATAATAGACTTCATTTGCGGTTTGCCCCGGTGGAAGAAATTCTTTGTGGACGATTCTACAGCTATCAAAAAAAGCGCTAATCATCGTTTTCACCTTCGACTTGCTTATGCGAGCTTTTTCGGGAGGCTGCGACGAAACACCTGGGAGCGACTAAGAGCACTATCACCATGCTTTTTTACAATTTAAGCGGACGTTTCCGAAACTGTTTCACCAAATTTGGCGCAAAGCTTTATCACGACGTGTTGCTCTTGATTTCATTTCACGAAACAGCAGACGAACTAAACAAGCTACGAAGATGGCAAATATATTATTGGAGAGGAGAAGAATGCCGGGAGAAGGGAAATACTTTATTGTAATTACTTTATTGTCACACATCGTAGAGAAGGTAAAATCTTTGACAAGAGTAATGAGTGATGATATTGATATCATTGGCCTTAACAAAATCGCGGTTATTTCCACGTCCTCCAGACTTGATAAAGAAGCGAAGAGAATGAGTCTGGTAGTGAACGAGGACAAAATGAAATATCTCTAGTCGTCAAACAAAGAGCATTCGCATTAGGGCTCCCACCTCACTGATGGCAGTCATAACTTTGAAGTCGTAGATAATTTCGTCTATCTAGGGGCCAGCACTAACACCAATAATGACGTCAGTTTTGAAATTCAGCGCAGAATCACTCTTGCCAACAGGTGCTACTTTGGACTGAGTAGGCAACTCCTTACATCCTTACTTTTATCACCACTTAATTGGCTACAAAAAATTATCTCTCTTTTCTAAGGTTTTCTTCACGTATTTAGTATCCTTGAGCTCGTCAATGAATATCATTTACTGAATTTATGTTCCCTTCCTCTGAAGGGATCTGTAACTAACAACATAACTCTAACATACTCTAATCCCTCAAATCGTTCCATGTTTGACAAAATTTAGTCATCTCATTGTCATTACATTCGACTTCACCTGGGATCCCACTACCGGCACCCTTAGCGCAATCTTTATCGATTTTCATCGTGTGCATAAGTCAAAAAGCTACACGCTGTTCCCATTATCATCTCATATTGCCACAATATCTTCCGACACTTATCGGGTAAAACAAAATTTTGACAAAAATCGGTGCAACACGTTCACACTATTGTGCTCGACCTGTAACACACATTCATTGCTCCTTTGCATTGTGGCGTTGATGATGAGAGCATAACAGAAATTGAAGAAAAAAAGGACTCTGATGAAATGAAGCATTTGGGTCAGAGAATGGCTACAAAATAGGAGCAAATGTGACGCTTATGAGACGAAAATTTAAATGTTGTGTGCGAATGAATGAGGAAAGGGTTAATCAATTAGTTGAACCACCACCACCACCACCATACACACCATACATCCAAAAGCAAGACACCACTTCTCAAATAGTGTATAGTGTTTAGCTTTTCCTCTTTGTTTTTTGACCACCGGCTAAAACTACAAAACCTTTCAAAAGTGTTTCGCATAGCTCCAAAAAAAAGAAAAATATCCAAGCTTATTCTTGAAGCATGTACAATATTGCTATATATTTATTTTTCAGATGCCGACCACACAAGAGGAGTGGACCGAATTGCTACGAGCTTTCTCCCCTGCATGGGAGCAGTTGACGAAAAACACATTGAGAAGTAGAAGGCCCACCGAAATTTAACAGCATTTCCAGTAAACGCTCACTGCGACACGCTTTGAATTTGACTATACCGAGTCCCTTGTTTGGTCGTGAAATCAGAGTAGCATAAGTTTTAGTGGCAGACGACGTGTTCAGAATGTAAACTCATTGGGTAAAACCATATTGGGGGCGTAGCTTATCAACAAGTCAACGTATTTGCATATTATCATTTTTCATATTTGTAGACTATCGAGAGTAAGCGCTTTCCCCGTCTCACGTTTAACTTCTAATGCAGCTTTAGTCGCATTCTTCTAAGTTCTTTTGCTAAACGTAAATCTCACACAAAAACTTTATTTTGATTTTAAAGTTTTTTAAAATTCACAACCGAGGTTTATAAAAAAATACCCCTGATTTTAGATACAGTGTAAAAATAAATCAAATAATTTAAAGGGTACAAAATCTACTCCTTCAAAATAAGCATTCAAAACATCAAATGACTCGGTTCAGAAAACTTGATAAAAAGAGTTTCTAAAACAAAATATAATCTTACACCGTAAACAGAAAAAAGTGCAAGAAGGCTTTGTTAAGAAATTTGCGAGAAAAAATCACCATTTTAATTTGTCATTCAGTATTTTCGCCTGAACAAAACAATTTGTTTAGAGCTTTTGAACGAATTGGTACCAGAAGACAAGGGAAACTGAACATCTTTTCATGTGTAATTCTTAGATCAAAATTTTTTTTAGACAGAAGACATCGTTGCCGTTTTATTTTGAGGTTTCTCTCCACAACATATTTCTTTTGCAACGGGTCGTCTCAGGAATTCGTTGGGAACAATTGTCTAACTTCCATGGGCCAACCTTCTGTTTCGCGATCATTGCACTATATTTCAAATTTGATTGCCAAAGTAAAAGCCGGGAAAATTTTCTTACCAACAACAAATGAAATGCAAAAATATAAATAAATATTCTATCTTTTACTTTATCAACTGGCAAATGTAATTTGACATGGACGAAAAAACAGTGCTGGCAAAGTTTTTTTTAAACATTGTAACCAGTTCGCCAGAATACCAAACTCAAATTTGGGTGTTAAAAAAAATTAAAAGGATAGGATTGATGATGTCAAGTTTTTGTGCAGCTTTTTACAGGTAAGATCCAACCCCTCTGAGTGTATTGCATCAGCTTTTCGGCAGCGGTTTCGAAATTGTTTCCTTTTATTTTTTTTAAATTTCGATTGAGAAAATTCATCCCTACGCATTTATGTGTTCATAGATAGGCGCATGTATGCATAGAAAATGTTAAATTCATTTTAATTTTAAAATCTTCAACGAAGTTTAATTTTAGATATTTCAAACTCACGTGTGTACAAATGTATATGTTGTTATGAAATACATAGAATTTATTATGAAACGTTGAGGAGTTTTTAGACCGTCCACTTACCGTCCATCCACTCGGACATTCGCAGTGGAAATTTTTATAGCCATCGTAACAAGTACCACCATTTTGGCATTTCGTAGCATTTCTACCCTCCTCCTTGCACTCATCTACCATCAGTCCAATTTCGATTTGAGTCGCACGAATATGAGCACGTTGCAAACGCAACAAACTGCGACGTATATTCACACTCTGAGCACGGCCCCTTGTCCGGTTCTGTAAAGCGGCAAATCTTACGCCCAACGCAATCAGGTCCGTTTTTAGAGCATCCAAATACGATCGAACACTTTGCGTAGTCAAGGTATCTTTATCTCTGTGTGGCGGTCGCAGTTGTGCACTTTTCTTCATTATTTTATTAAGAATATTAACAGAATTGATGAAAATGCTACCTTCACCTTTGACACGCAATGTTATGTTTCGAGAGGGCGCAGCGCGCATAATTAATTTCCCGTTATGAGTTTGAATTTGTGGTTGTTGATTGAAATCATCACTAACGGTACTTATTATTTTAACTAGTGTTAACAGCACTATTGCATAAAAAATTTTGTAAAATTTCATTGTAGCCATTTTAGCACAATTCACACCCACATAATTTGTATATTCTCGAGAACACAAAACACGATCAGCGGGAAAGTTTCGATTTGCTCCTAATTCACGTTTAAAACTGAGCGAAATTGTGTCTGTTGCCAGCATTTATACGCGAACATCTGTGAGTAATGTTTTAGATACCAAATAAAAGGGGCGTTACCGTTAAATGATAATTTTTTAGTTATCACATAAATATTCAAGTCTAGCTCAAGTGATCGGCAGTGAGGAAACGCTGAAAGACCGACAAATTTATCAACATTTAAAATTTTCTTTAATCAAATTCAAAGCTTTTCTTCCAACTCAATCTGCCATTGAGCGGCGTATATATCAAATTATATATATGTACATATGTATATTTCAGCTTGCATATGTATCTCTTTCATTTCGATATTATGGAGGAGCTTGCGAATTCTTTCCATCTGCAATCTGAATCTTAGCGAGTTATTCGTCTAAAATTCGAACTCAAGTCTCAATGGTAATATAACAAGGGCCAGCACCAAGCGTACATTGTCGGTTACAAGAACTTATCGCCGTTAAAAATAAAAGATATATTACTGTGACAAGATGGACCATTAAGATTCTTTTGCAAAAACTGTTCAAATGGGAAATCTGTAGAATCTGAAAGTTTTGCACTCTGTCTTTATGAATGTATCAACTCCATATTTGGCTTTGTGGTCGAAGATACTTAGGAAGGCCTTTGTGCTATCACAATGAGTTCATTTTATATAAAAATACACGGTTTCGGTCAAATTTGCATTTTTCACTTCGAAATTTTCGACTCTAAAAAAGTGTTTGCTCAGAATTAAATTTGATCTTGCCTTTTATAAAATATTCAACTTGGAGATGATTTCAATTATTTTTGGGGTTATTTGCAAAGCAGATTTATAACAATGAATACACCTACTGTATTTAAAAACTATGTATGTATTTCAAGCCGGTTTTCTTAGGCGTTTTTTATTCAAGGTTTATGGAATAGATAAAAGGGAAATCATGACGAAGTTGGTTCAATTTTGTGGGTTGCAGAAGATTTTAAAATAGTAAATTTTGTCCATAAAACAAGGTAAGCTTTTGACTATAAAATTCTCAAGCCTTGCATTAAAAGTTATTTAAATTAATAACCATCACAATTAAAACGCCATGAATAGTTTTATGCCGAACAAATGTAATTCAATATTCAACAATTTTTAAAATGTAAAAATTAATATTATTACTAACAAAAATTATTATAGCTTATTATAGCTTTCAACTGTAACTTTTGGTGCCAAGCAGTCCGAATGGCATAAAAAAAATGTCAAAAACATTAAAAATTATCTAAATTCTGAGCGAACGAGCATTATTTAAAATATTTAATATAAAAACCGTTTTTCACTCATTTTCTTTGTCTGGTGAAAATCTTTTGAGAAATGGATGATGAAGGACATCTTGTGAAAAAATCGTGTTCAAAAATTCGTAGCGGTGAAAAAGTGCATTCATATTAATATTTTCTGAAAAATTAAAGCAAAGAAGCGATATTATAGCAGATTCGTTAACCGCTCCATTATATGAACTTAGGGATATAAGTTTTTGAGCTGAAACACTTGAAGGCTTGGCATTTAGAAAACGTGAATTCTCAGATAGTTATCTAGATATAAATATAAAATATGCGTATGTAAGAGGGAAATGTTGTTTTTTTTTTTTTTGACTGGGACTTAGGTATTACGACAGGTCTACCTTTGTGAAAGACTCTCATTCACATTTGGTTGTCTTCGGCCACCTGGACCATGGTTTAATCAAAACAGGCTACGCCTTGCACTTTGCACATAGTGAAAAATCTCCAAATCAGACAAAGCCAGAAGAAGTGAGCAAAATTAAGTTCATTATCTTTGTAACTACCCAGCGCCCAGCGCGATCCGCTATAGTTTTCTCGCTAATGTCATCTTCGATTGCCCAGCAGAGCAACATGTTTGACTGACTAACTCACCAAATTTTCAGATTTCAATATGCAGTTAATTAATCGGTTGAAATATTCAGAGATATTAAAGTTAAAGTTATCTAAATAAATTTCTTTTCTTTTTTACCCCAAACGAAATTTTGTCGTTATTGTTAAAACGTTAACATAAACCGTTAATCGTTTATTAATTAGTGTGGCGATTCCACGAAAAGCAATCAGCTGTGCGAAGAAACATGAGAAACAATGTTCGGAAAATGTTTATCAAAATAACAAAAACCATTATAAAGGGTAATTTTTTAAGAGCTATAGGAAAGTTTTTCAATAAAAAAAAGAGATTTTTGTAGAATTTAAAAAAATCTTGAATTGAATTCTCAGTTTCAATAATAATTTAATTTTTTTTCTTTAATATACAAATAGTCTTTGGTTTCAAATCAATGTTTGTGTGTTAGTGTCTTCCTTTATGACTCTACTCTCTTTTGTTTTGATTTGGAGTGCGAATTACGATTGAGAGAGCGATAAACGTAATTGGGCGGTCGTGGAAATGCCGTATTAATTTTTCTTGTTAGCGAAACGAATGGATATCATTGCGTTGTTGAACATCTCTGATTTCAAATTTAAAAAATATTAAAACTCCCAATATGTTTTTTTATTTAAAAGTTGTAATAAAACACGTTCAAACTGTATGTCAACAAACCGAAGACTTTGGATGTGCTGAAGAACACCATCCGAGCTGAAATCGCTTCGATATCGCCTGAGATGTTGGCAAATATCATGGAAAATGCCGAGAAAAAAGCAAAGCTTTATTTGCTCAATGTAGGAGGTTATTTGATCGTCGTTGTCTTTCGAAACCACCTGGAAAAAATTTTAAGGTTTTAAATTTGATCACAAAAAAAATTTAAAAGTTCAAGTTATTCAATATTTTCATTTAACACATATACATAGATGGAGCACCGAGTAGTTATTTTTTGATTTTTTTTTTCATTCTCAGTTTGGCACTTACTGGAAACTCCAAATGAAGCAAAGACGCTTTTCATCTAATCCTTTCCAAGCACGGGATCTTTCCTTTTTCCACCAGCGATTATTGGATGAAATACTTTCAAAACTGAAGAGCTTTTATCCGTTCTCCTGATAATACCCTGCCAGCGTAGTAGAGCTTTCCCTCAATTCGATGAACTGAAAAGCTTTCACTCCACGCTGGATGGGAATGGTGAACGACTTGTAGAGTTGACTTTCTGTTAGCCGAGAGGGTAGTCTGAAGGTACAAGGCCAGGGCTATATGGTGGATGCATAAACAGCTCCCTGCGAAGCTCTTACACTTTTTGGCTAGTGACCATTGATGTATGCGGTTTAGCTTTGTCCTGGTGGAAAATGACAACTTTACGATTGATCGATTCTGGCCGCTTCTCCTTCCTTGGAAGCAGCTCAAAATATACCACGTCCTTGCAATCCCATCAAACTGACAGCATAATCTTCTTTTGATGAATATCAGCCTTTGAAGTGAATTGTGATGCTTCATCATGCTTGGATCATGATCGTGTTCGATTGACGTAATCGTAAACAATCCATTTTTCATCTCCAGTTATGAATACCTTCAAAAACGTATCATATCACGTTTAAGATGCATACCACATGCTTTGAAGCGCCGATGAGATCATTTGGGAAAATTCATTAAACTCTCAATTCATGCGGTACACAAGTAGCAAGTTTTTTTCCAGTCTAAGGCATCGTATTCGATCATAAACGGTTGATTTTGGTATACTTAACTTCTCTCTAATCTCACGCTCAGTTACATGACGATCCGATTCGATTAAAGCCTTGATATCGTCATCATCAATTTCTTTTGGCCGACCTGAACGTGGCTTATCTTTGAGTGAAACATCTCCTGAACGGAATTTAACAAACCAACTTCGACACTATTTTTCTTTTAAGGCCTTATCACCATAAAAATTATGCACCGTATTTTCGCAAGCTACGCTGCATTTTGTCCTTTAAGGAAATAATAATGTAAAATATGGCGAAAATGTTTTTGTGGGCTCCATATTAAAATTGAAGCTTTTTTCCAAAGCAAGCTAAAAGTGACAGTTTATAACTGTCGAAGAAAAAAATACAATAAAATAGTCCCAAGCTGTGCAAAAAAATTGCCAACGAAGTCTGTAAGAAAAATCGCCGGTTTCTTTTGGGACAACCCTACACTTATTTGACGTCAGGTAATATATCTTCTTTGAGAACAGAATTAAGGCCACGGTTTTAGGGATTGGTAATGTCTATTCGACAGCGTTTGTAAGTTCTTATAAGAGATTAAAAACTGTGATCTTATTTAGCCGGAAAAGATTTTTTTTTTAATTTACGTTGCTAAGTTATAATTTCCATAATAGAAAACGCTTTGGCTTCCAAATCAATTAGTTTTTTATATAGCTGGGCTCGAATTAAAAAGTATATCTGGGACAATATCTAAAATCTCTGTTGTTGTGAATCGTTGTGACTACAGTTATGTTCAATTTTCGCTGTAGCCTCTTTACCTGGAGTTTAAACATAATCCATTCATGTCAAACATTTGTTGCTCTTTTCGAAATAAATCCATGGATGATTTACGAGTGTGATATATGCACACACGTTTATATTTACATACAAATGTATCCTAAACAGCTACTTAAGAAGATTGTCCTTATCATCACTAGCCTTCTGTTTCTACCAAAGCAAAGAAATGTCCAATTTGAATAAATTCAAATCGTTAGCTTAGATTTTGGAAATGTTTGTAATAATATTACCCTAATCATTAGACAGCAACAGATGTGACTATTACCTCCATATGTACATTCTATACATATGAATGTTTTGTTTTTATGTATTTATATCCAGCAAGCATTGTGCGAATAGCTTATAAGGAAGGAAGTGTTGCGACATTAGCTGTAATTTGGTACAATTCGCTATCCAGTAGTAACAAGTAGCTCAAACGGAGTACAAATAAAAGTTTACAATATTTTAACCCTTTGACACTGTATAACAAAATATACTCGTAAATAACTTGAAAATCTTTATAAAAGTTAAATTTCTTCAAAGTATATATACCTAAATTAGAATTAGCAAGCCCTGCCTTGCAAACAACGCGATTACTCTATACA